GGGGGAAGCTGAGAGACCCGCAGGGACGCCCCCGCCGCAACTGCCCCGCCCGCGTAAACTCACGGGGAAGAGGGTACATATACACCCCTCCACGGCAGTCCCTCAGATTTCCCGTAGGTTGGCCATCCGAGGACGACGGCGTAGGGCGCGCTCTGTCTGGAGAGAGTTGTTCTGAGCGCCAGGATGCGGCGGCGGGTCTCACAGGTTCTTGTAGAAATTCACTAAACCAAATTTAGGCCTAGCAGAACCCCAGTCTGGTAAGGGTGCAGGAATTAATTTGGATGATATGAGCAGTGACTTTGTGGGGAGGTCAAAATTGTACACAAGCCGTGGACCCTGGCCCCCAAACACACAACTCTTTGGGGTGCATGTCTGGCAGTCTAGGAAAACGCACGCGTGCACATTCCTGCCCCTCCACGATCGCACCAGGAGCCCTGGGTGAGAACCGGTACCTGACAAAGTATACACAAGCTCTGTGATCTCTGCAGGGTTAAAAAACAAAAACAACGCATCCAGTTAATGTCACAGGGCTTGTTTGGGTGGTGGGGGTTTTCTCAGTAACAAGTGGACAACAGTTAATCAAGAGCTTGGATTTGGTGAATATGAAAGGACTCAGGCCTCCTGGGAAAGGAAAGGCACAATTAGAATGGAATCATCCCCTTGGGTTGTCCTGGTCCCTTCAAACCACCAACAAAAATGTAATCAGGGCAAAGATGTTTTGGAAGGAAGTTAGCAAACAGGGAAGGTTTCTCTAGAGGGAATGATGACAGTTCTGTAATTTTTGTTGTTGTTTACCAAGAAACTTCTGCGTTTTAAGCCAAAAAATTCTGATGGCTTTAGACAAGCAGCACATATGCTGGTTTTTGTCTTTTTTTTTTTTTTTTTCCTTTTTCGGGGAGCAGGAGGGCAAGAATGCCATCCACACTGCTGCAAGGACAGCAGCGCCCCACCATCTCGCTGGCCTGCTGGTGGTGTTTTTGTGTAACAGCGGAGGATAACATATCTGTCTTATTTTATTTCGCCAGATGGAGAAAATGCAACAATATCTGGAAAAAAGAAAAAAAAAAACATTTCCTGTCTTTTGTTCTTAACATAAAAAGTACTTTATGGCTATTTTTTTTTCAGCATATTTTCTCCTCCTCTGGGGCACTTTTTAAAGTCTCAAAGCATATATTTGCCAGGAGTGTTTGGATTCTCACAATATTCCTAACTCTTTCTACAACCAAGACTTGCTGGACCTGCTCCATTAGGGAGACTTGTGTTTTACAAGCTGTAGACTATAACTGCAATAGCTAAGATGGTTTTGTTTTGGTTATTTATTTTTTTATTTTTTTGGTGGTTTGTTTTGTGTGTGTGTGTGTGTGTGTGTGTGTGTTGGGTTTTTTTGTTTGTTTTTTGTTTTTAGGGAAATTTTTCAACTTAAAACACTTAGTATTTATGGGCCATTGCTTTTTCTTTTATTACCCATTTAACCATGTCTTTTCTTTGACGCTCATCCAGAGGGACTCTCATCATCCATGGCTAGATCAGAGAAGCCCAAAGGAAAGGTCTTCATCATCTCTAATCTCCATCTCTCACCTCCTCCAAAGCAGTTTACAATAAAGAGAACTCACTCCCACATCCTGATCCCTGCTCTTCTTTGATCTTCCCCATCATTTTCTTATTAAAAACAACTGCTCTGTTGCCACCACCACCACCAGTTTCAAGTTGTCTGAGTAACTATTTTCATCCTTAAATTTTTAATTTTGAAAATCAAGTCATATATTAGAGTTATTATGGCAAGTACAATATCCCCACTTGAAAAACAGGGGAAATCTGTAGAGAACAACCCATTAATTTTCCACCAGTTACAAAGCACTAAAATGCTACCCTCTGAATGTGGGTCTCTGGTTTTCCAGGCTGGCTTCTTCCTGTCTCAGTCACACCACCTTACATGGTTTCCTGAATTATTTCTTCCACGGAACAATTAAAAGTGAACAAATATTAAGTTTCATGCCACCAACATTATTAAAAAATTTGCATTCTATAACAAGTTACCAAATTCCAGCCAATGATGCAATATACCACTGAATTCCAGTGGAACAAAATAATTTGAAAAGGCCACTTGATTTCATACTTTTGGAATTTATTAACTACTAAAAAACACATTGCATTATCTCTTTATAAATGAATGGGTCAAATAACTCATCAAATAACAATTTTAAAACAAAGGATCAAAAGTTTATGGTTTAGGTTTTATGCATAAAGATTGTAATCAGATTGGGGAAAGGGGCATTAACATTAGCCAAAGTTGAAAGAACATAAAGATTTTTTAGATTTTTATATAATACCTAGTAACATATACAAGTCTACAGGGAATTGTTTTGTTCACAGCTAGACATTTATCTCCACTTTCTGAATTTTAGTGTCCCTAAGGCCAACAGTACATTCCACTTGGAACTATCTTTCTCCAGAAAATATGCTCTCGTCCTACACCTTTCTCCAGAATGGGTGGCTGGGTCAGGAGCTGCTGTTATACTCCCCACAGTGGCACTTTTTCCTTCCTTTATCCGAGCACTGGGCGTACATTACTGCCCTTGCTTATGCAATTGTGAGTCTTCCCTGCTATAATATAAACTACACAGAGACTACATCTGTTAGGTTCAGTATTGTATTCCAAGTGCCTGGCACACAATAGGTACTTATTAAACATTTAATGAATTAATAGACTGTAGAGTTGATAAGTGCCCCCCCCCTATGTGTTCCCCAAACATGGGGAAGCCAAGTGCAAGAAACAAAATCAGAGATAAATTCCCTCCATCTCTTTCATTCAATATGGTGAGGAAGCCTCATGAGTAAAAGAGCGCAGTGTACAATTGGCCAGATACCTGAGTTTGAAACCCAGCTCTGAGACTTAAGTGGTGTGACTTTGGTTAAGTTATTAACCTCTCTGAACTTCATTTCCTCTTCTGGTGCATAGACATAATAAAGCCCACCTTGTAGGGTTGTTGTAAGAATTTATATATATATAAAACACTCAACATATATAGGAAAACTAGACACAAACATTATTAGCACTCATTCATTGAATGTTTGCATGCCTGCTCTGAGCACCGGAGGCACAAAGATGAATAAACCAAAACCCTTCTTCAAGATCTAAGTCACAAAGTAATATGGCAAATGCAGTAACAGAAACAATAAAAAAAGTTTGGGGGAGCAATTCAACTGGAGAGAGGCGTACAATCCAAACAGAAGAGAGCACATGATTAACAAGGTCTAAACACTATGGCTTTGGGGGGTGACCATAAGTAGTTGGCTTCCCATTTAATGCAAGTTAAGTCCCCAACTTATTACAATAGCTGATGAGAACCTGTCCCAAAGCACACTCACACACCCTGTTTTCGCTCTGACCTCATCTCCTAATACTCCCTCTGCTCCTTCTTTGACTTCATGTGCTAAACACACTCCCATCTTAGGGTTTTGCACTGGCCGCTCCCTCTGCCTAGATTTTTTTCCTGTTTATCCAAGTAGTTAGCTCACTGTCCCACCTTCTTTCATGTCTTTGTTCAAATGTCACCTTTCAATAAAGCCAACCTTTACCAGCCTATGTAAAATTATACCCCCAGATCTATTTAAAATGTGCTTATTTATTGTTTGTTGTTTCCTGACAGCACCCACCCCCGTCCATATAAGCTCCAGGAGGGAAAGATCTGTTTTGTTCTCCAAGGTATGCCTAGGTCAGAGGCTGGCACATAGTAGTGTTGAATGAAAGAGGGAAACGTGGCTGGAATGTAAAGTCAGGGCAGGAAGTGAAGGGAGGTGAAGCTGGAGAGATGCACAGTGGCTTTGGGTGCTCTGGTAAAGAGCTTAGATTTTTATCTGGTAAGTAAGGGGAAGCCATTAAAGGTGAGTGGCATGTTCAGATCTGCTTTTTAGATAGGTCATTCAAGGGAAATATTTAAAGGAAATAATGGAAGAGCCTTACAGTTAAGAGGCTGTAGCAGCAGCAAATGAGTCAGAGAACAAGACAGGAAAGACCTAAGTCAGAGCAACAGCAATAAGAAAGGAAGGGAGGGGACATATCTAAGGAATATATTTGATAACTGACTTAAAGTGGAAGGAGAAAGAGAAGACTTAAAAATGACTTTTAGGATTGTAGTTGGGTGACCAGGAGGTTGAACTAAGTGAGGTCTGGAAGGTGAAGAGCAATAGAGGGTGAGGGGCAGCGGAGGTGATGAGTTGGGCTCCATATATAGTCATGTATAGTGGCCCCAGTGTCATTTGTGGAAGAGGAAATTTGGAACTCAGGAGAGAGGTTTAGACTAGAGATGTTCTTTCTACATAGTAATAATTACATTAATTTTAAAGGGAAAACAATTTTCATTTCAAACATCCAAATTTACTTCCAAAAACAACAGCTATGTTTCTTAACTGAGATTTTATATATCTGCATCCTTTATACACAGGTGGGAGGTGAGGCAAAAGTGGGTTTACAGTTGTGAATACTTGAAACAGTTTATACTTATATTATTTATTAATTATTATATTATTTTCCATACGAATAACTGTAAACCTACCTTTTCCCCATCCTGTATTTTATTTTTTCCAGATAGTTAAAAAAAAAAAAGTGATGGGGGGGAGGGTGTTATTTAATTGATTTTTACTCCAGACTTCACTTTTTGTTAGATTTTCAGCTAACCTCCCAGAAAAAAATCATAATCTCTTCCCCCAAAAAAGTTACCATGTTTGGTTGTGAAATAACTAGTGAAATAATAAAAAGAATATCTCTTTCATTTTGTGAAAGTATAAAGGGGAAGTTAAAGAAATTCAAAGGCAGTATTATGTATTCAGAACAAGTTTTAGTAAACACTTTTGAAATGACATGTAATTAGTTAGTGGAAGTTACTATCACAACATACGACGGAAGCAAAGTGCTTTATGAGCTTTCCCTTCTCCGTAATCAAACCTCTAAAGCATCAAAGAAAAGACAACATTTCATTGTCACAAAATTACAAGTAGGCGTGCTCACTACAGCAACACATATGCTAAAATTGGAACAATATGGAGAAGATTAGAATGACCCCTGCGCAAGGATGACACGCGGATTTGTAAAGCCTTCCATATTTTGTGCAGTGCGCCAATGTCCTCACACCTTTTGATTAGCTCAGAAGAAACAGCATAAGTCAAAACACACAGTGTGGCACTAGGTAGCACAATTATGACTTTTCACTATACAAACATGCATGTAAGGCGAACTGTGACATGAAAATGAAGCTGAGTTACACTTGTATATTTGTGCTAACATGTCAACTTGCATTTTCTTCCTAAACCCTAAAAATAATAAAATTACAAGCTGGAGGAAGTGTAAATAGTTTCACTTCAATAATAATAATAATATTGATAATTTATTTAGCATTTACTTTGTGCCCAGGCACTGTGCTAGGCAATTGTCCAAGCTTTTTACTTGGTTTCCTCTTCTCTTTAAAGGGAACAGATGAAAAACAATAGTACAGGGATTAGACAGTTGGGCAACTTGCTAAAGGTCACTTTGTTATCAAGTGGTGGAAACATCTTTTAAGAGAGGGGGAACTTTTTTTCTAAGATTCAATTAATTGTTGCAACTTACCTTGACCTGCTACATACAGATGGACACTGCGCCTGCACCATATATGAGAGAGTCTGACTGGTTCACAGGTTACTACTATATCCAGAACCTAACAGCTCAAACTCTTAAAAAAATATATATCTATACTTTTGTTATATAAATTTAAAAACCCAAACGAATGAGCTAAGCCCATGTTAGTTAATCTGAGAACTGTCTACACAGTGTTGGTAATACTGGAACTATTTTCAATAGCATAAAACATTTTCTTTCCAAAGGTGAACTTGTTACTTAGGACTACAGGGAGAATGTTTTTAACTGGACAGACAGCGGTGACGTTGCAGAATAAGTAATAACAGAAGGTAAGTGTCCAGGCACACACATGGACTGTCAGCTGGGCCTGGCGCTGTGTCAGGTGGCACGAGCCAGCTCTGGTGGCTTCTTACTGACGCTAAGCTAAGGAACTCCGTGGAGGACCCTCCTCCTCCAAACCAAATAGCCAAGTCAGCGCTCACGAGGTGCAACACTGACAGCTTTCTCCTTTTCCTGGATCCCGGCCCCTCTGGTAATTTGCAGAACGCTCTGCAGACCCGCAAGCTCAGTTTCATCCTCGTAAAGCTGGAAACACCCGTTTCCCGGACGCCCTCCCTCCCAGAGAGCGGATCCAGGCTCAGCCCTCCACGCCAAGCACGTGCAACCCTTATGTCTTTAGAAGTCTTCCTTCTGTACTGGTCACCTCCAAATCCTTTTACTTATGTATTTGCTTAAAACAAACCAACAACAACAACAACGCACGCTCACGCTTGGAGGTGAACCCCTAGTTCAGAAAGTGAAAGTGGGCGCGAGGCCGGCAGCAGCCGCGGAGCGCGCGCCCGGCACGGGGGCGGGGCGCGAGGACGTCGCGCCCGTCACGTGGCGCGCGGCCGCCGAATCCGAGCGGCGCCGTGCAGCGCGCCGAGACCCGGCTTGGGGAGCTCTTCTCTCAATGAAAGTTGTCATTTGAACTGTTACTGCCGAAATGCAGAGGCTTTGCACCTCCTTCCGCTTCAGATCCCCACTGCCTGCAGACAGCGAGAGTGGGACCTCCCTAACTCCGGGAGCTTAACACTGTGCACAAGCACTTTTATCTTCCTCTTCCTACTTCCTGGGCAGGAAAGAGCCTTTCCTTTTAGGTGTGTCTGCAGGTGGGCCCAGGAAGGATCCGGGCCTCGGTTCTCCGCGGTTTGTTTGCTGGGGAGGGAGCTAGGACTGTGCACCTCCTTGCTCCAAAGCAGAAGTTCAAAGCTGTTTATGGAGGGAGTCTGAAGCCTTTGGGCCCCAACGAGACCGGAGGACTCCCGCTGTCGCCACCACTTTCCCCAGTTTGACAGAGGGGGGACCCGTGAGCCCCTGGAACCCAGAACAGATAGATGCAGACGTCAGTCCTTCTTTTACAAGATTTCAAATGATTGATTTTTCCCCCCCACTGGAGTCTTTATGCTTAATTCAGTGTCTTAAACAAGTTAAAAGAACCGAAGTCCTAACTTGAAGTTTTGCTGTTTCAAAAACTTCTGGGAAGCTTAACTGTCACTTCTTGGTTTCTACACCCAATATCCACCACGGAAAAAAAAAAAACCATAAAAAAATACATAGCTTTCCTAAACTCGGTAACAATAGAACTGGTTTAATCCACCTCTGGGTAGGCGATCCCCCACACACCCCCACCCCCAACCCCAAAGCCCTCCTTCACACTCCAACCTGCCCTTAGGTATTTCTGTAATCAGAGACTGATTGTAGCTGCATTGCCATTTCTCCCCAGGAAAGCTTAGTTTGCATTCACTGAAGTTGCTAGTTTTCTAGGTTTATTTAGCCGAGCAGAGAAGATGCCACTTGGAAGATAGCTGGGTTTCCTGCTGGACGTTTGCTGGAGCGGGCTGAGCTGAGCAGGTGTGCGGGTTCTGATTGCAATGAGGAGGGTGCGTTAGAAGGTCTTCAAAACGTTACTTTTGAGATTTTAGTAAATACATTTTCAAAGAATCAAGACTATGGTCGCAAAAAATATATATATTTGGTTAGGGACAGTAAGAAGCGTGGTGATCTAGGGCTCTGCTGTTGCTTAATCTGTAAACACGGGCAATGTTGATCGTTATCTCTCTGACATTAATTATTCTGTATTTTAAAACGGGGTAGAAAGAGGGACGTTAGCATGGATCATTACGGTTTGTCAGAAGGCTAGAATTCTGTGTCACCAACTTGTAGGGGGAAATGAGACTCAGAGCCGGATATTCCTTACTTTGGGAATGTTAATTTTGTATATTTTCTGAATTTATGAAATAGGAAGGGAAGCAAGGATGTCTACGTTAACTGAGCTAGGGCTGCAGCATTTACTACTCTCTAGTCTCGGAAAAGCTGCGCTGAAAAGTTTTTAAAAGCCCTGGGACTGTGTGGAGCGGGGCGAGGAGCTGGAGCGGCTCCGGGCATGAGGCTCTCAGCAGCCGGGTGGTAGACGCTGTGAGGAGTAGCTAGATCCTCCACGGGAGACGTCGTGGGAGACCAGGGGGTCGAGGTAAGACGCTGCCCTCGGGGGATCTGGTTCGGGACAGACTTCTCCTCCAGGGTCATTGTTGAAGGAACAAATTCCATAGTGAATTCTACTGAGCTCTGCGTGTAGGCTGCTAGCCGCTCTCGATTGGAGTACATTTGCCTAAATTGCGTAATTAAAAAAAAAAAAAACCTGCAGCAACGCTTCCGCTCAAAGATGAGCTGGGACATGTGACAGCCAGATAGCTTCTCAATTACGCACCTTTTCCTCCGAGTTCCAGCTCCTTTCTTTAAAGTCGCCCACCCCTCCCCCCAGTAAGAGGAGGAGGGAGGGAATGAGAATTACCAAAATGTTGTGTTCATTTGGACGAGATGAGAAGGAAAGAATTTGGGTCCTGATATCAGGACGAGAGGACTCTCGAGATTGGTTTAGAGTTGGTCATTGAGTCTCGAGGTGCGCGGGTCCCAGGAGCAGGGTGTCGTGCAGGACGAGCTTGCTGAGAAATCCTTGCCCGGATGCCCCTGCGGTCACAAGCCTCAGTCCAGCTCGTAACTTTCTGAGTGGAGCTTTCTTGGAGCAGATTTCTTGGTGTGCACGGCTGGGTGTGTAAACTGGAGGATAACTTTCGGCGCGCCAGCCTGAGGCTACGTGGGGAAGCTTCTCCCGTCGCCGCCCCCGTGCCAGGCCCTGGGAGTCGCTTCATCCGCCCCAGTCGTGTAACTGTAGGCAGGTCACTGGAGCCTCCGCAGTCCTCGGCTTGAATTTTTGGACCAGGAGAAAGGGGGGCTGCTTGTTGAGAGCATTAGAGTGCGCTTTTTCTCCCGCCGAGCACACCGCCTAACTCAGAGCAGCTGCGCACTGCGCTCTTCCCGGTTTTGAAAGCCAGAGAGATGCGTCAAACTCAAACGCTGTGGAATGACAGCATGAGCTTCTCCCCCAGTCTCATCATCCTCCTTCCCTCACCTCCCCGCCCCACTTCTTTTAGGGTTCGAAGCAAGTGTTTAGGGTAGGCTTGGGCGGAAGATTGTCTGGGCAGGTGCCACCTAGGGGCACCTACCCGGTGTTGTCACGCTCTCCCTGTGGTCAGTGAACCACCGCCTTTCCCATTGATAACCGGACCGGGCACGTTAACTCGGCCGCGTGGGTACTCCGGAGGACGGCCCCACGGGGTTTTTGTTTCTTTTTTCCTTTTCTTCTTGGCGCAGCATTATAGGAAATTTTTTTTTTTACTGTTTTAAACATTTTCACGTACATAGAAACAAATAACAAAATTGCAAACCAGGAGGAGGGAACAAAAGGAAAAGGTCTGACTTGAAGGTTTTTTTTTTTTTTTTTTTTTTTACTTAGCAGTCACTGCTAAAACGACCTCAGAGGAAGAGAGTCAGAAGAGAATTGGTTGAATGAAAACCTTTAGCTGTAATATAATAATGAAAGACACAAATGGGAAAACGAAGAAAATGTGCAGTAGATGTACGATACAGATGGCTTGAGAAGCTCTCCTTCCATTGAAAGCCTTGTGCAGAACAAAATACATATTTGGTTATTTTCACAGTATTACATCCTCCTTTGAATTTAACTTTTTTTCAGCCAGACAACTATAATTGGTTCTTAATTAGGAGATACAATGAAGTTTCTAACATACGGAGTCAGCCACAAAATCTGATCCAAGATAGTAAATAGAATTAATTTTAGGGGACATCTTTAGTTTACAAGGCCTGAAATTAGAATATAATATTTTTTAACACTGTGTACACAAACAAGGAAACATAATTGTTCCAGAGCCTTAGTGATACTATTTCCTTGCTCTGTGTTGCAAAAGGCTTCAGTAGAATATGGCTCCTCTCCTTCCTCACTCCAATACCTCTTATCAAACTTGATTTCTTTCTGATCAAAACATCTTAGGAAATTCTACTTTTAAAATATTTTCTGATTTTAAAAAGACAGCAAGACAGGATGAAATCCTTAAAATACCACATGGTCCTGACCAGATCACACAATTCTTTTT